TTTTCCTCCCAAAAGGGGGGGCCGGGGCCGGGCCGGCCCCCCCCCCCTAAATCCGCCCCTGCGAAGGTGAAGTAGGAGGACGGATGAGGGGTGCTCACTCGCAAAATAAGGTGATTTTAGGTGATTTTTAACTAGCTTGCAAGTTTGTTTTGGTGGGGGAGACTGGGGGGGGGGCGAGTAAGGTTTGGAGGGTGTGCGCCCCCCTCCCCCTCCCGCGAACCCCCAAGATACGCCAGTGCCTGGCTCTCAGGCAAAGCTTGAGCCTCAGCCGGAAAGAAAATTGTAAGCTAGCTCAAAATAGGAAATTCATACATAACTCGCACATTCTGTTGTTCGCGCAAGTGAATCTTTTTCCCGCTCGAATCCGCTCGAACTGGCATTCGCTCGAAGCGGCATCCGCTCGAATTGACTTGTTCCCAGACCATGTGGATGAGACGCCGGTGTTAGTTTTTTCCTGAAGTCAAGATTCGCTGTCATAATGTCAGAAAAATGTAATACAGATTCTACAAAAGTGCAAGAAGAAAAACCAAAACTAAAGCCGTGTTGTGCTTGCCCAGAAACTAAAAAAACTAGAGATGCTTGGTGAGTGCAGGCGGCAGGTTAGCTTTTTAGTTAGGCTACTTACTTAGGCCTAGGCCTAGTCTAGAGTAGAGGCCTACTCTTGACTATTTTGAGTACTCCTCTATCTATTGTATGCGCCAGGATGAGAACATGCTGACTGCATTCAGTTAAAAGCTAGCTACATTATGGATGGAATAGGAATCTACAGTAGGCCTAGCTAAGTCTTTAATGTTAACTGGTTAGGATGAGGACCCCTTTTTAGGGGTTTTTTTTATTAGCAAATGAAATCCCACAGACTCGGTATAAAATAATATTAAGAAGGTAAAGAACAATTGAAATGGCAATGCTGTATTGTATTACTGTATGTAAACAAATACAGTTCTGTACTTTCAATCACTTAGCAGGCCTATTGTACAGGTATTCTAATTTATGAGGCCTTTAAAGTAAAATAGACTTCTTTCTTACTTGTTTCTAAATGTATTGAGTTGAATTGTTTTGTTTTGCAGCATAATGGAGAAAGGAGAAGAAAACTGCCAAGACTTAATTGAAGCTCATAAAGAATGCATGAGGCAACTTGGATTTAAGATTTGATCATTATCAAGTACTAATCAAAAGGTACGGAAGTAAATGATAGGGAGCCTTCAATAGCATGACGACTGTAGAACCTGGAACGTATTTGACATCACTAAGAAGACATCAGCTGTATATGCAAGAATGTTAAGCTGTTGTCACCTATTGTTGTCAGAATTTACAGTTTGGCCCTAATGTACGCTGTGCAGAGAACGCTCATGGATGAGTGAATTCGTTCTAGGGTTTGTTATGTCGTTGCACAAACTGAAAGCTCCGTAAAAAAGGAATTCGTCCCTGGATATTACACTCTTTTAACTTATCACTAATGTTCTGACAATGTTATCAATTTTTTTGTGACAATACCTTGATTTTAATTATATTATTTATTATTACTCAAACAAAAATAAATGCCACTAATAGACACATGTAGATTGCCCATATAAATATGATGTCATTCCACCCCCATATATATAATGGTAGTGTCAACAAAAATGATGGCTGGCAGATGGTAGTTCTGTTGATGTCTTTAGTGGTCTGTTCCAAGCTTGAAGTGACCTGACCTAATTTTTAATTAAATTTAATTCCATCTCTTTCTTGATGAATTTTGCTTCAGAGAAAATAAATCTTTCTTTTTATATGTTTTTTGTACTGAATGTATAGGAACAATAAATAAGTACTGTAAATATACATATATAGTTGATTATTACTGGTCAATCATTGATAATTTAATAGTTAATTAATATTATTAATGTATAGTTTTCTTTTTCCCCATAGGAATTAAAATTATTGAGGTGGCAGAAGTAATGAAGATGGGTATTTTTCAAGCTGTTCTGATGGTGCAATGATGAAGTGTGATGTTTTCTAATGCAGACTTCTTGAAATAGGGAAGACATCTTCCATAGCAATAATAAATAAAATAATTTTTAATTTTATTAAAATAATTCTTTACTAGAAACCGTAGAGTATGAACTAAATACAGTATGTCAATCAGGTACAATATTGTAATCTTGATACTGGATTTTCTAAAAGTTATGGGTGATTTTTTTTCCATACTACTGTCAGTACATTATCATTTTTAAAAACAGAATGTTAAAATGTGCTGTTTATGTAGCAACTTAACCCCAGTTATTCCCCCATCCCCTCTCTGGTCATTGGTTATGTGCTTTCCCGGTTCACATCAAAGTAAAATCCAGTAAATGGACTTGAACCATTTAATTTTATCTAGATACAGGTCATTAAAATTTGAATAGTGTTTGAAACTCGAACATGCGTTCAACTGACGCAGCACACGTTCAATAAGAACGCCCTCCAGTTCGTAGTAGTACTATTTGAGATAAGGTTGCATTCCAACGAAATCCTTAAGAGTTCTGTTCTTTGCTAAAATCAGATGCTGCTAACATTTATTCCCTTGATATTCAAGGATAATTTGTTATGGTAGTTTTTTTGTGGGTGTGGGAATGCTTGTATGTGATTACAATTATTTGTAAAGAGAATAGGAAATAAATTATTTAATTTATACTTAGTGAAAAGACTGGTGGTTATTTTATTAAGTTCAACAACACACATGATCAATTGACCAAGGTTAATTATACAGCAACATCATAGTTCAATAGTACTGTACAAGCAATAAAAACATTGTTTGTTTGCCCTTCTCCACCCGCCCCCTAACTCACTGAAAAAAAACAGGGGCGGAAAAACAAAAAAACTTTAAAAGAGTTTTTTTTTTAGCTTTTTTCTTTTCATATTAAAAAAAAATGTGAGTGAATTCATCTTTATTTATTGCCAGATGCTCTACAAATTAGTCTAAAGTTGTCTGATGTAAGATATTGCCATTCTAGGCCTCTGTGGGTTATTTCTATTCCATCTGATGAGTATTTTTTTTAAATAAATAAATAAAAAAACTTTTTCCACCTGCCCATATTTATCATTTTTATGAAAAGAAAGGCAAACAAACAATTTATTGTTTTGGTTAGCTATCATCTTCACAGTCTGCCGTAGAGCACAAGTACATAGATCAGTACAGTATTTATACTACCGACATGGGGTCTAACATGTCCAAACGAAGGGGTCGACTAGAGCCTCGGTCAGGGTCCCGGAATAAAAATTCCCGGTAGGGTGTTCTCGCTGGCGCCACCACTGCCTAAAAAGACGGGCCACTTCTGATGCCTCATCAGTGTTCTCCCAATTGAAACATTTTTACTGGTAAATTTGTCCATAAATTTAGCTATGCACGCAGTCTGAGGCGTTATCCTTTTTGAGTGGGGTTTAATGACTTGAAAAAACAACACATACAGTATAGTCATAGCCTAGGTATATACTGGAATGATGTTCATTTATTGAAAGAAGTCCAGTCTAGGCCTAATCAGTGGTTTCATTATTTTACAATCTCAAAATTTTTACTGGTTGGCCAGTTATTGCTACCAGTAAAATTGATGACTAAAACGGCTTCGACATTTAATATCAACCAGATTTTTTTTTTGAACTTAAAATTGACATCAGTCCTACTGCATGTGTAACTTAGATTTTTTGTAACACATGCAGAAGGCCTGGAATATAATAATTTAAAAATACATTAAACCATATTATCATTAAAAAAATATATACAGTATATACCATTATTATGTAATGAATAAAAAGTATAGCTGCGTTAGTCTGTACAGTATAGAGAGTATAAAGTAAAAAACAGCAGCACTTTTGAGACTAACAATATATAATTTATTCTCTAGCTTTCGTCCACACAGTGGACTTCATCAGGAGACTGTCTCCTGATGATCAGTCTCCTGATGAAGTCCACTGTGTGGACGAAAGCTAGAGGATATTGTTGGTCTCAAAAGTGCTGCTGTTTTTTACTTTATACTTTCATTATTATGTAAAATTCCTAAATTCAACAGATATAGATTACATATATACAGTAGCAATTAAAAATATTAATATTCACAATTACTGTATACAATTAATCTATTCTTTTAAATTTTATAAAATATCTCGTACTGTTTTAAATAAGTCCAATAATGCACAAGATTATGGAAATGCCAGACACTTCACTGAAAGTGTGATATTACAATAACTGAATGTGCAACTATATCAGTTTCCTATAGATATACTACACATATAGATAAAGCAATGTTTATTCTGTTGTTTCTGTCATGTATTGAACTGTTGATAAAGTAAAGTGGCACAGTACACCATCATCATCCGGATGAGTTTTTTTGCGGAACAAACAACCTATGTGTCCATAGCTGTGTATCACTAACAATAAATTGTTGCTTTTATCTCATTAAAAATGCCAAATAAAATCCATACAGTGGAACTTCCTCATGCCTGAGATTGCAGTGAGTTTACCTCAGGGTAATGCTAAAGCCTACTCAGTGCAGCCCTGTTAAAACACACCAACGCTGTGGTCAATGTCGTAGCCAGCTATTGGGACAGTCCTACACAATTTTTCTATTGGGTCCACAAAGAATGGGTCCACATTATAAATTTGGGTCCAGATTTCTCATTTTTTTGCGTAAAATGGGTAATTTTTTTTTAGAAAATGGGTCCAGATTATTCATATTTTTGCGTAAAATGGGACAACCTTTAAGAAAATGGGTCCACATTTTTTGAATTTACACGTAAAGTGGGTCCACACCGATATAATCCCACAACATTTAAAAATCTTGGCTATGGCATTGGCTGTGGTGAACCGAATTAGCACATCAAGTCCAAATCTGTGACAACAATGCCACAGTTAACCTACACCTAAAAGATGTACCTTCAACTGGAACTTGCAGACGTTTGGTTGAAGACGGATCTCCACTGTGATTTTTGACTTTTAACGAAAAAACTTTAGGATTTTTTTTCTAAAATACAGATCTCTTCTATACTCTCTGATTATTTTCAGCAAGAAGTTTTATACTTGTATCCAGTATGTGTAACTGTTCTTTTAAGAAATCTTCTAATAATTTGTAATGTCCTCCCACACTAAGACGCCCTATCTGTGAAGAAAGCAAACTTATGTTTAAATAGGATTGCTATGATAATTATATCGTAATTTTTGTTATTGTACGTGATTAGCTTGATTAAATTAATATAATATATAAGGCATTCCTACCTTTTCAGTAATTTGCTTTCGCATATTTTTCAGAATGTAATTAGCAATCTCATTAGTTACTTTCAGCTCCTCCGCTGTCGTAGTCTCTTGTCCGACACAAATTCTTTGCCAATGAATCCTGCAACATTAAATAATGGAATAATTTGTAAATCGAATATGGGTTTCTAGCTATCACATTTAAAAAAGCTATTCAAAGTTTTTACTGAATTTTTAATAGGTTTTCCTAATTTTTTTGCCAAGCGGGATATCTTTCAAATTCCTTGGGAATTCCTACCTGTTATTATTTATTGTGCAAAGTAGACTCAACGTGACCATCAGCTGCCAAGATACTCCCTCATAACCGCAAGTTAACTCGCTCATCGCTGACAGGTGCGAATGTTCTCGCAGAAACTTAATTTTCTTCTTCAATACAGTGGAGGGGATGTTGCGACCATGGTAACTTTTTACACTCTCTAAAATTAATTCTGAAAAAAAAAAGTTACCATACCTAAAAATATTATTAAATCATAGTATTTTGTGATTGCTTATTACCAAAACAAAATACAATCGCTTTATCACAATCAGAATAACTATTAATCTCTAAAAGAAGAAATTTGTTGCTCGATAAAACCATTTCATGTACTATATGAACTAAGATACCCCAAAAACCACCCCCTATTTTTAAATAAGAATGTTTACAAAAAAACCACTATTTCTCTTGCTAAACAACATAGAATGGCATAACAAAAACAGATGACGTGGATTGAATACGTAATTTTTCAAGACCAACCTAAAATTTCATCCCAATGATAAAGATAATTTTGAGGCTACTTTTGCAAAGTAGCCTTCAAAATGAATGCTGTAAATTTTGTGAATTTGTACTATAAAAACAATAAATATGGCCACTGTAACATCAATCTGTATCATAGAGTGTATTTAACTGACATTAAATCACCTAAACTACTTTATAAACCAAGCTTGTTTTTAATTTATTTTGTTTTTTGAAATTCATGTACAGTGTATGTACTGTACTATCTCGAGAAGAAGCCCATGGGCTTCTTTTTGAGGCTAGTTTTGCAAACAAAAGAGGGGGCTTCAATTCGAGATGGCTTCATCTTGAGATTAAGCCCACTGGGCTTTAATTAGAGGTTTTACAGTAGATATAGTATTAAATAAAATAAACATAATAATGATTACCAAAAGGAATATGTACTGTTGTCTGGTAGTTCAATGGAACTACAAAACCGTATTCTAATAGCAGTTTCTCATTACCATGGTGACCATAGCATATAAACACTTGATCATACTTCTCGTAGCTGTTGTGAGTTTTAATCTCATAGCAATTAGAAGTTTGATTAAATCCAGCTGTTACCTGCAAGATTAAATAATACTATTAAATAAATATTGAACGTTGGTGTTTGCTTTAAAATAATGAGGAAATTTCAAATTCTTAGGGAAAAAAAGACATTTGGTTAACTATTGGTTTAACCAAAAGTGAACACTGTGTTACTTTTTGAAAAAATATAGGGATAGAGAAATGCTGGGGCTTATTTGGGTGTTTCAGGGTTTTACGTATGCAACTGTTTCTCATGGTTGTTCATTTATTTTGCAATTCAAATATACATATTAAAATATACATATTAAAATTATATACAGTAGGCATGTGCTGAGACGAGAGTGATATAGTCAGATGTATACATTATGAGAAAGAGTAGAGAACACAGACTGACGGAAAGTGGTAGATGTAGGTAGTTGTAGAAATGCAGGATAGAAGATGATATCAGGAACCCAACACTCCTGAGTGGTGAAACTGCTGCAAGACTACAAGCACCTTAATCCTCACTCTGCGAAGTTAAGCCCTCTGTAGTTATAGTGAAGAAATGGTCAAATACGCGGAAGCTTTAGAAGACTCGAATTATCAAATAAGAATCAAGTAAGTAAGAAAGACAACCGGGGTGGCGCCAGGATTTCCCCGACGTGGGGTCCGAGGTCCCCAACATGGGGGCCAATGCCCCGACGAGGGGACAGATTTCCCAGACGAGAGCAAAGCGGGTGTGGTTAAGCATCGTTTAAAATGTTTCTAAAGTGGTCCAAGGGGGGGGGGCGAAACCCCTGAAAATTTTAACAATTTAGGGGTTTCAAAGGCTTATTTAATCGATTTTAAAGTCTACTAAAATGTAGAAAATACAATTGTGGTTTTTCTCCCCAACGAGGGGGGGGGGTCATGTCTCCCCAGCAGGATGCTTCTTGCCTTAGAACACAAAATAATTGTCAGCTGTATTCTTGAACCATGCATTATTGTATTGGAAGCCTGGAGCTTTCTGACTGTGCCACATATTTCCCCATAGTGTATATGGATTGTGTTCATACTCTACCACTAATTAATAATGACTCACCTCTGCTTTGGCTGAATGGTTCAGCAAATCAAGAAATGGTGCTAATGCATAGGAGTCAAGCTCGTGCGAATTCTTCCATTGGCTAACATCAGGATCCATGTACACAGATCTGGTGTTGATCACGAACCACGCCCACCTGAATGCCTCAAACGTGAATAACCTGATATAATGCAAATCCAAGCTTTTAAGACATTCAGAAAATGTTTTAACTTTTTGGAACTCATCGTTAACTGTCTCAATTTGGAACAAGGACTTTTGGTGGAGATGCTGTGGTAAGGAATTGAGTTCTTCATCTGTGAAATATGAAGTTGTTGTGTACGTATCTGGTAGTTGAGAGATGTACGGGCTCCAGAAGGATAATCGTCCTTTATGCTTTTCAATTAACAGGAATATACACAAAATTTGCCTTGGCGTTAATTCTGGATGTCTGAAAGTATATTGAGTCACTATTTGTCATTGTTTTGTTAAATCATCATCACACAGTTTACTATAATAATTATTCAGAGGAATAAGAAACTGGTACACATTGAAAATTCCAACTCCCACCACCCCACAAAAAAACCCCATTAACTCTACTTTAAAAATGTACTCACCAATCTAAAAAGTTGTTTAGGATTAGTGTGTGTTACCAAATAGTATAATTATTACAATATTCAATCTATTCCCATATATTCATATTTTTGGAAAGTAGATGCCCTTTTCAAAGTGCTTTGAATGTGATGAAATTTTTAATGTTGCAGTATGCGTACATTGACACAAATATGTTGAAAAATGCTAATATAGCTAATTTTAAACAATTACAATAAAATGCATCATTTGCTTTTATAAATTGCCAACCTGACGGATGAATGCTCATATCATAGCAAACATACTTTGGTCTTTTCTTCGACAGTATGGATTTAAGATGGACTTACTGTTTAATAACTGGTCCAATATCACTTCTTAGAACAGTGGTAGTTGTAATGAGCAGACAATGTGGAACTTTAACTATAGTATCGCCAGGCTAAAAAAAAGAGAAAGTAAAAAAATACAGAACAAGTAAATATATTATTTGGATGCTGGTCTAGTGTATATTTGTTTTATAGCATGATCACTGGAATTGCCCTCACAAAATATTGTTGAATAATAAATAAGTCACAAACCTTCAATGACCTCTTGGTCATTAATCCACGTCCAGTTCCTGAAAATACACACATGATTTCATTTAATTTATATCCAAGTCCACTCAATATTAGCATTTTTTCATAGCATAATATACCAGTATACCACTGAAAAATTACATATCTAATTTTTCATTTATAATTTATTGTTTATTTAAATATTTTTATGCCTTTAATAGTATATTGTTATTTATTATATAATGCTGTATTTTACTGTAACGAGGGCCTCAATGATCAACTTACATTCCATGCTCCCCATACAGGGAATTTATTCATCAAACTCTAGGCCTCCGGCCCCTTGTAAAACAAAATTATTACAAATTAAATAAGCGTGCTGTGACAATACCGTACTTTAAATACATTTCATTAATACACCCGTGTTTCTTTGTTTTCCTTTCTCTTAAATGCATGATAAATAAATAAACATACTTTTCTAATTATATTACTGTTTTTTG